TGTGTGATGTTATCCAAAGTCCTGGCTCTTTCGAGCAATCATGTTTGCAGTGTAAATAATTTTAAACCAGTAGTGATCTTTATATACATGTTACTTACACTCTTTGCTTTTTAAAGACTAGAGAGACTGCTTTACTAATGAGAGGACACACAGCAGTCTCTTTAAAGGTCTGAGCAATTGCAAGACAAGTAAGGAGAAGGATGTAATTTTCCTTTGCTCTCCATCTACTTTGTAGTGCACATTTACATGAATGTGACTTTGTATCTGTGTCTTGTTTAAGGGAACTTGGAGCAAATATAAGTATCCTGCTGATCTGAGGCAGTCAAAATTCATCTAAATTACCCTGTTGCAAGCATTAGTTTCCCCAACGTGGTATCTGAATAATTGTATACCTCAGTGCAATAGGTTGCAGGTAGCGATAACAGCTGAATGCGGTATCCCACGGTTACCTTATACACCACTTCATCACCTTCTGATAATGTGGGACTACAGAAATGTATGACTAATGGGGGATTTCATATTATTGCAAGAGAAAAGTATCTTTGTGCCTTGGGATGACAGTGGGAGTTGGTCATCATTTAAACACCTTGAACGTGACAGGAAGGGTATGCAAATATCCAAAAACATGCTAGAGGTGTTACAAAATGACAGCCAGGTGACGCATTAGTAAAAAAAGTACTCAGAATTAACAAATAAAGCAAATTAACAAATAAAGTAAATACGGTATCAGATTTATAGAAATATAGTGTCAGATCTATAGTTGGGGAATTTTCCCTAGCTCTAGCATTTCAGTTTGGTTTTTTATTATTTTTATTTTTTTAAAATACAATTCCATAAGCTACAAAACCAATACAGACCTCATCCTATCAAACAAGACAGCAAGCAGTCCAAGTCAAATTCCAGTTACACAATGGACCTAAGATCAATAATCTCTGCACACAAGAAGATTTACCACGGATGAAGAGTCACTTCCTTCCCCATAGTATCAGACTTCAGTCTGAAAATTCAGCTTTGACTAGATACTTATTGGCCTGTCACTAATCTAAAGCAACTGTCTGGCATTTAAAAAAAAAGAAGAAAAGAATAATGTAACTTACACATTAATATGTTTGTATTTTATTTTCATGTTGATACATACAACACCTTCAATATATCTGTTCTTCAATACTCTGCAATATCCTTGATGCTTTGTATCACATAAGGTAAAAATAAAAAAAATTACAAATCATATAAGATGCAGAAAAAGATTTCCTGAGAGAGCACTCTTGGAGAAGGGAGCACGAGTTAAAGAACTCTGAAATTTTTTGTATCATCCATTTGTAGGCAGGACAGACCTTCAATCTGAATCTGAATTTAAATTCCTGCGAATGAAAGGTGAATGATCCATCACCAGAGATTGAGATTGCACTAACTCATTGGGGTGGGGGGGATTATTTTTACTTAACGTACTGTTCTGATTATGACATATATGAGGGAGGATAGTGCCTTCAAAAGACTATTGAGAAACTTCATTAAAGCAATTCCACATGCCTTCAATATATTCTGGAGAGATAAAATCTCCCTCCTCCTACCCACTCACCCCAAGCAATCGTGCAGTTTTCCTATCCAAAAATCACCAGTAACATATCAGCCCAGCTGTTCCCAATACATGCAATCCTTTAAATACATGCCTTTGGTTTTGGTGCAACAGCATTTCAGCTCCAATCCTTATCTCAAAAATCAGCAGCTCACAGCCTCTCTCTCTCCGCCTCCACCTGTGCTCTGCAGATCTGAGCATCCAGCAGCATCTCTCTCTGCCTTTGCAGGAACAGGCCGAAGTTCTTTGACCTTCATTCAACAATTCAGACACTGCTCAAGGAACTTTTTTGCTTTCCTAACCTCACCAGACCGCAGGCATGTGGAACACCAGCACCAGCCTGTGTCAGGTCATTAGCCAGTAATTCCTCTGGTGTAAGTGTGGCAATACACATAGCCCTGGACTTTTGCAAGAAAACCTAGAGCCAATTTCAGTCTGAACCAATTCTCAGAATATCAGGAAGTCACGCCATGTCACCAGCTAATTAAGGGAGCAACTTCATCTATGGTGAGCCTGAGAGTTGTTTGAATCCTAAGTGAGACTCTAAAGATTCACAGCTAATTGCTTACAGGACCATGTCGTTAACGTTTAGCAGAGCTTGTGTGACAGGTCACAAAAGGGTGTTTTCACAAAAAGAAATTGTTGTTGGCCTACCTGGATCTTCAATGGAATGAGTATGTCAATGCTGATTCACTTCAAAATGTCTGATATGTCACCGAGCCTCAGCTCCTTCCTTAGGAAAACAGCAACAGTACCACTGAACATCTCTCATTATTTTTATTAATAGCTGACAAGGCATTTGAACAAACAGCTCTTCCCCTGTCCTTTTACCCTGTTTTTCACCATCACATCACAGGTGGGATTCTGAGATACTGCAGCAAGGCAAACAACATAAGCAAGTTTTAATAGGACAGAAGCAGCCTTTCCTTCCCCAGACAAAAACCCAAATGAGTCCACTGCTGAGAAAACCCACAGGCCACCAAGGTAAGAGCCAAGTCCCAGCTTGGACAACAGCATTTGTCTGACTGGAAGGAAAGTCAAAACATCGAGCTGTAAAGCTGGACAATTTGGCCAGCCTAAGATTTTTCAGTGGCTTGCTCAACAGATTTCTTAAAATGGACTCCCTTTCCTCAGCTCATTCTAAGCCATCATAATTTTCTGCACCTGCTGCCAAAACCACACATCATCACCACACCTTGGGTGAGTAAAGCCAAAGGCTCAACGCCAAGTGTTGCAACCACCAAAAAGCCGTCGGTGGAATACAGCAGGCACAAACTGCACTGCCTCTCTTACATCTTCTGGAGCTGTAAAAATAAATCTTGATGATCTTTAAAATACTTAAAAGATACTTAGCAAAAAAAAGCCTAATCAATTTCTACAACTCTGGTTTATTATCATTTAAAAATAAACTTACAAACAGACCTGAGCTGTCAGAGTGACATCTTCCTTTTCTTCTTTGTTCACAGAAAACTATTGTCGTCTTACTGGTGACACATAGCACCAAATCATTCTGAACGGGGGCAAGAAAATAACGTGAAAAATTTCCCTTCTGGTTAAGAGGGCAGAGGTGAAAAATTTACCAGTAACCGACAAAAAGGAAAGAGTTGTTAGACTCAACAACCTTTGAAAGGTGATACCACGGTTTCTGCCAGCCGTTTCCTCCTACGAAGGGAGATGTTATTGGTTTGATTCATATTGCAAAGCTTGACAGGAGACACCTGCTACTGTTACCTCCTGTTAATTGAACCGATGGATAGAAAAAGGACTGTCTTAGAGATAACAAAATAAGATGTTATCTCCCACTTGATAAACGGAGATCCGTAAGACTAGATGACAAAGCGCATTACCTTCTCATCATGGCACAAGAGAGGGAGACACAAGATCCCAGACTCCTAAGGTTTTGGAAACATGCTGCTTGCATAGATATGAATGCACTTTTTTTTTAAAATACTCACACCAGTGTAATGAGTGAGAAGACTGCAAAGGGGAACAGAAAAGACCGTTGAAAATACAGACACATATACATTGCTAGCCACTTGCTGCACTATTTGCTACTGAATTAACACTTTGGCATTTCCAAATGCCAATATTTGCACTTGTAAACCTCAAATTATCCTTGTTGAAGTAGAAGCTTTTCTTTCATCTTTCCCCAAGAGTCTATAGCAAAGCTCATGGATGCCTTTGTTCCATCAATATTTGATTTCTTGGTATCAGAAGCAAGAAGCATTTTTTCCTATACCAACTCACTAGCTGAGCAGAGTCCATAGAAGTTAATAAAACTTTAAAAAAACCAAAGAACCTAAATTTCAATGATTGCATCTATAAGACTCTTATTTTTAATAAGGTTATGCATAGGTACTTAGTACTTCAAAGGCAGCTATTACACTGCATGTATATTGATATATACAAGAGAAAGAAAGATCAAAAAATGACCAGTTAAATACATATTCTTAATCAATCATTTATCTAAAAACAAGTATGGAAATCTGATTAATGCTCTCCTGTCTGTGTTTTGGATGGCAGCGGGAATTAAATTGTAGCAGCAGCTACACACTGACCATCATAACACTGCAGAAGTCAAAGGGGTTGGGTATCTCAAACCCTAATGCCATCGCAAACACCTGTGAGCTCACAGCAGGTGAATAAATGAAGACACAGTTATGGCCAAAACTTAGGCTGCAAAAACTGTTTTTCCAGCCCTGAAACCTTAACTGTTGTCACTTAGCTTCAAAACCTGCTTGGTAGGCAACAGTTCAGAGAGAAGTTCAGCCAAAATGGATGCAGATGGATAATTTTTATCAGACAGTTGGCAGAAAAATCAGGCTAGGTAGTTCATCAAAAATGCAAACTCAGAGTAATGACAGCCAAGCAGGCAAGTTCACTGCAGATAAGATTTCTGCCTAACAGATGGATGCTGTGAAAACATAAGACATTGTACAGCTCCATTCTTCAATTATCAGCCTTCCTTTTCCTGGGGCGAACATTTCTGGTATCCAGTTTACTCTTTATTGTCACAAGCAGAGATCTGTGAACAAGGCAAGGCTTTGCTTCATCTTTGCTTTGGTTTCTGGTTGAAAGACCACACACCACCAAGATTTGCACTCAGATCTGACACAGACTTTTGTGAGGTTGAAATCTCATTCTTCCATGGCTGTATACACAAATAGGACCCTGTAGCTATACATCTGTCTTTCCATTCCCTGAAACAGTGAAGAGAATTTTTAGGAGTAATCATGATTTGTCAATGACTTTAATGCCAGAACCAGCACTAGTCCTCACAGAGTACTGAATAAAATACATAATTTTCTTTTAACAAGCTAGTATGGATGTTGATTCTGCATGGATTCCCGTTCCCTGAATATTTATTAGTCCACAACCAAAGCCTTTGTATACCTCCTCCTGATGAGATTGGTCAAAACATACTTTAAGAAATTTTAGACAACCGAGGTGACGAACAGTTTTTAAACCGCTTCTTTCGTTCCACTGCAGTTCGCAAAGCCTGAAGAATTAAATGCTTATTGTTCAGGATGTTGTAGCTGCACAGGTTCAGCAACCTGTTGAAAGCCTCTTCAGTGTATGTAAGCAGACCAGTGCCATAGGAACCAACACAGCTGGGCACATCGACCTTTCCCTGCTCCATCTCTGTGGGACTGCGCTCCACATCTGAAGTAAGAACATCGCAAAGTTCAACATAGTAAAGTTACCGAGGTGGAAGACCCTACCAGGCAATGCAAAAAACCCACAGCAACAGCCACAAGAAACTGAATTCTCTCAGGAAAATAGTTCAAGATTTAGTTACTCTCAAGGTGCCAGACTAATGAAATCCACTCCTTTGCTCCTTGACTACAGTCACAGATGATCCAGAACTGAGTGGCAGAACAACTTTTCCATGCAAAATGCTTTCCTCTCTAAATTAAAGGTTTCCATCAGAATATTTCACTTTTGCAGATTTTTATTTTGTATTTTTAAGTTTTCCATTGGGTAGTGTGATGGCAGGTCCTTATCTGGTAGGAAATTATGCCAGGAAGCTCCTGGATTGGGAATTCTCCTCTCAGGTTGCTGAGATTTCAAACATATGGAGTAAGACAAGTAAGATGAACTACATGAGGTCTTTTCCAATAAGCTGATACATGTATTTTTGCTCAGTTTTTGAGGATGATTTCCTGGATCATACTAAATTAGCAACAAGAAAATTGGAGTTGATGGATGCAAAAGTATTTGTAAACTGAAACTGAATTTGCCAAGTAGTTTTTCTGGTAAAGTAAACAAATCCCTATTTATTCTATTACTGAATTAAAGAAAAATGCATAGAAATCACAGATATCATAGAAGCTTGTTATCTTGGGAAATCCTCTGCTTCATTATATGTTTTCAGCACTTTCTACTCCCGAATTTTTTTTCATGTAAACACAGTAATGAGAGGATTCTAGCTTTGTTAACTAAGTTAAGGCAGTATCTCATAATAAGACTGCTAAGTGACATTGTTAGCTACCAGTGGATATAACTCAGGAGCCACTTCCTGGCCTTTATTACCAAAGGAATTCAGACTATCCCAGATGACGGCCAAGGGGGTTTGCCTCAAGCTACAGCTATTCATGATTTTAATTTTGAAACTCTTCAGTTCAATCCCCGATTAGTTGACCAGCACTATATCCATCAGAACAGGACTGGGAATACAATAACTTAGCCAACCAAGAAGCTTGCCAGTCTCTTGTTTTACAAGAACAAATTCAATGGATAAACTGGATGAGACAACCCCAAAAAACAATCAATGCTGTTAACTTACTTGGTGCCTTGTATTTTTGGAAGGTATCACACACCAGTGGGAAATAGGCTAATATTGGTGCCTCCAAGCTGTCCTCAAATACATAACATTCCTTCAGGTGCTCCCGGTCTTCCTGGCTCAGTTCCGTGCCAGGAAATGGGATCCTGTGCTCCAAACAGTACTCTGAGAACAGGTCCAGGGGCTGGTTCAGCAAAGAGGAGAGTTGCAACACAAAGAGAGGTTGAAATAAGGCTGTCAAGCCCCATAACTCATATTTTGCTGCACTAGGCAATCTGTGATTGATTTATAGGTTTACAAAGAAGGATAGCTATGCACTGGAACAAACATACCCTTTTGATTTTAATAGATCCTAGGTAACAGAGATTTGGTTGGGTTGCTTAACACTGTACATTTTTCAATCAAGATTACTGTTTTCTGAAATTTATATGAAATTTTAGATCATTCCTGTGATTTAGTGGGCATAGCAGAGGACTCAGATCAGGAAGTTTTGATTACACGTGGAATCTCAGATCACAGGGTTTTGAGTGTTGGCGTTCCGTGCATGTAGCAATTAATGTCTTTATGTCCTTCCACAAACAAATAACATTAATTCCAGCCATATACACCCCTCCGTGTTTCTTCAAACAATGAAAAACAAAACCTTGAAACTTATGCAAACACAAAGAGTCAAACATTAAAAAACCCTGCAAATTTTCATTCAAATACAGCAAAATTATGTATTTAAGGTTGGATTAAATGATCTCTAAGGTCCCTTCCAACCTAGGCCATTCTATGATTCTATGATTCTATGACTGTAATTGTTCGTTAACTAACTACTGAAGAATTTGGTAACACAACGATAAATCTGCACAGATGCACAGAACAGGTGATCTTCTATGTGTCTGTGTCCAATTGCATGTCCCAGAAAGCTACTGAAAATAGCGCCAATAAAGACAGGGATGTTATGGTCACCATGCTGAATGATATCACCGACATGATCATTTAACTTAAGCAAAAAGAAACATTATCTGGAAAAAAAACAAAGAAAAAGAAAAAAGAAGAAAAAAAGAGGAAATGTAGTAGTTCATCTGCTGGAGTTGTACAGATAAAGAATCACTATTTCAAAACATCACCAGAGTCTGTGATCCTCCGCTGTAATTTAAGTGCAAAATGACATCCACTTTCCTCTCTGGTCTCAGAAGTGGAGGGCAGCTGGTGTTGATGAAGAAAGCTGTATCTACCAGCTGGAGGTAGTCACCCATTGCATTCAGCTGGTTGGGAGAAGTATCCAGCACTGTGTCTGAAAGTCAAAAACTTCTGTTACCAAATAATTACTGCAGGAGCAAGTCCACCTTTTTCCAAATCAGCATAACGAAGGATGGACAGACGAACGAAAGAACAAATAAAAAGACATCCCACACTTTTATTAGTTTTTGACACAAAGCCTACAGTTAAATATTTGTCTTGGATACAATTTTAGTATCTGTAGCTCAACTCTGAGATCAGTAAGAGGGAGCAGTTCTGAGACTCAGCTTCATCCAAAGCAATATTAAGCTGATTATTCAACTGGTGTAAATTTGTGGCTATTTAGCTTCAGTGGAAGCTGTAAGTCATTCTTTAGTGGCTTTTCCTAGGAAGGACAGAATTCAAGCAAGCCTGTCACGGCTTCTCCAAGACAGAAACAAAATCAGCAGTAAATCAACTGGGCCTCATCAAAACCAGTTCCACAGACAAATTGATCAAATAATATTAATCAAAAATTGCCTTTATGCTAAAACTTATCAAGTATTTGTCCTCAGCAAGTATCAACACTCACATCACCTTCAAAGATGCATCTAAAACAATTTACTAATACCTTTCCACATGCAAAAGCTCTCGTTCTCTAAATAGTTGTTATGCAGCTGCAAGCCCTTGAGGAAATTGTGGTAAGTTGAAACCACTGGCCGTCCGGTCATCATTTCTCGAAGAGTATTAGAAAGGCAACCTTTGGGAATGGATATGCTAGTTGCCTGTTCGTGAGGCTTCTTGGGCAGAGCAGGGTGCTCCTCTGCAGAAAGAATGAGAAGAGGATATATGTCTGAATTTGTTTAGAGTGTCTCCCTGACATTAATAATAACAAAGAAAGAGGTGGGCAGCCAAACCACCGTGGCCCCATCTATGACGCAGCGCACACACCGACATGCAGACAGCTCTGGCCAGAGGGGGGTTTCGGTGTCACAGCATCACTTTGTTGTTCCCTGCCTGGCCTCTCCTCCCTAAAGGGCTCCTGGTAATCCTCTCATGACTAACAAATATCCCCCCAGGGATGTTGCACAGTGAGCAGCACAATGTTTTTTCCTGTTTTTCCTTCATTCCCAAAGGCTTGGTGTCCCCTAACCCAGAAATAGGACACAAAACCAAACCCTTTACCAAATGCCAGGTTTCAGGTTTCATAGGGTGAAGACAACACAAATGCACATGAAAAGTAATCCAAATAACTAACCAATGTCATGCTCAGTGCCTCGGGTCCATCTGTGCCAGAAGTCCTCTGAATGACCAGAGAGGTAGACAGCATCCATAAAACTGGGGGAAAATATATTACTCCATGTGCCTTGAAAATTTAAAAAAAAAAAAGAAAAACAACATACTTAATAGTATTTTGAATTTTTAGAGCACAGCTAAGGCAACATACTTGTATTCAGCCTCTGTGGTTGTTTACATTAGCACTAGTTTAGTTATGAAATATTACAAATTTTAAAATAAATATAATATGCCATGCCATTCTACATAACATCTGACTTTTGACTAGGCCATTTCCAAAACTCCGCTGTTTATAAAAGTCAGCAATTTTAAATACTTAAGAAGATCAGTTATAATGTGTGGGTTCTGATTTGGTCTAACCTAACAAGTTCAGCAAATTAATTCTATTTGTCTCAAGAGTTTGCTTCCTCTTTTGTCACTTTTGGCTGGTTTGAGATTTAAACTGCATCAGACACGTTATCTGGTGTACTAGTATTGCTGCTTGCAGACCTGCAGTTATTAGAAGCCAGCTCTGTGTAGCCAGCTACGTGGTTATACAGGTGATGTTTTTCTGAGATAGTAAATCACCTTCCAAGAAGCAGATGCGGGACTCTGGGATCTTCTTCATCAGGTGACCCATGAAGAACTCGCTGCCAAAATCCTCTGAATGAACAAAGGCCCCGTATTTCAGGAAACCCACCTCATAAGGTGTGAACTCCACCCATTCTGCAAATAAGGTAGCAAGAGGGTCTTATTGCAGCCATCTGAACATAGGTAAAAATAATAGCTTAGAAAATCAAAAGCTGGAAGAACAAGACCTGTAGCTTCAGCACGTTGGTGACAGTTTGAAGCACTGTGTTACAGAAACAAACAAGCACCCTTGAGTGCGCTATGTGTTAGACTGGTGAACACAAAAAGCTAAATTCACCTCCTCCACTAAGACTGAAAATCCAGTCGGCTTGGGGTTCGGGTCCATTTCTGTACTAAGAAGCAAAAACTGGGCCTGAAAATCCACCGACTGCCAAAGCCCTGTGCAAGATGTGGTGGGTTTAGTTCTTCTGAGTCAGCAGTGACAATGGCTACCACTCATTCTTAGACTGGTAAACACTGCCTGGTGAAGATCAAAACCCACACAAACCTTGGCTGAAGGAGCCAGGACTGAAAACTGTGCTGAGAAGCAGATGATCAGGTTCAGTTGCAGGACCTCCCGATTTGGGCCAGAAAACATCAGGGAAATAGTTGCTGGTAATCAACATTGCTGATAAGGGCCCAGAGCACTGCCTCTCCTCCAATTTCTTGCTGGCTGCTGGGAGCTGCCTGTTGCTCTCATCACCCTCCACCTCCTCCCCCAGCTTCTCACAGCTCTCTTGGACAACCACTGCCAGGGCAGGAGCCCCAGCAGCTGAAAGAGGCTGTGAGGAAATGGAGATAACAGAGAGAAAGAGCAGCAGCAGTGGCTCTCAGGGCTGCCAGCAAAAGCTTTAAGTAATAGGGAGGAGGAAACTCCTTAGATTTACACAAGCGTGTATAATAATCGTTACCTTTAAAATCCAGAGTGCTAAAGTCATCCTTGACATTGAGGGACAGGTATATGGGCAGCGGATTCTGCCCCTGATTTACTGCCAGTTGCTGATCAGAGAGTTTGTGAGTACTTTCCTGTTTATAAAGAAGTCATTGTAAAAGATGAACATGACGCACAGACTTAATACAGTACCTAAGAACGGACTATCAGTAAAACATCTCCTAAGCCTCAGCAGATTTTGTTCTGCTTGACCACACAAGTGTGGTCATGTGTTACCTGTCATCAGTGACAGTGCTTTGGTGAAGGTTGCTTCTAGGAATTTTGGAACAGGGAATTGAGCAAAAAATGTGACAAACTTGTCTGTGCAGTCAGCTGAATATGACTCGCTTTATCTTTTCTTACAATATATTTAGCTACCTTGGAGGTGCTGGGGATAAAAGTCAAGCAGTGCTCATTTCATTCAGTACAGCTTTGTTTGCTGTTATGGTTCTATATTTCTATGCCTGAATCTGGCTCTGTCAGAGCCACCTCTCCTCTCCCTGTTATTAGAATGCTCGTTTGATCTGAAATTAAAGATGGAAAATCAGTTTCATTAACACCTTGACTTTTGATGCTCAGACATTTCCGCTAGATGCTTTTATTTTAGGCTTATTGCGTCATTTTTTCTTCTAAAAAGCCCAAGAAAGACCTCTCAGAAGTTTTGAGAGCATTCCCTATAACTTAATCCACAACTTTAAACACGAAAAGTTAGACATTCTCTGGAATAAGGGATGGATATATAATACCTGATGATGCAGCATACAATCAATGAAAAGCCCCCATAAATCTGTAAAGGACAGATTGTGCCCCTCTCGCTTTCTTTCACAAAGCTCCTTTTCATAGTATTTCATATGATCCAATGAGAAAGAGTGCAGCTTGCTCTTGGCCACATGTTTCCTGATATCACCAACTGGTCCTCTGAGATCCTTCTGTGACCAATTTGCATCTTCATATAACCTTGCCATGGTCCTGGATAAAGAAAAATGCACAGTGGTTCATCACTGGGTACATGACAATTCATGAGCTTACACCACACATAAGCATTTTGTTTCAGGATACACAAGACTCTCACCCTCTAACCGTTACCTTGGCAGAGTAGTTGAAAACTTTAGAACTCTACAATTATATTTTTGCTGCAGGGATTTAAAATCATCGTAGCTCGTTTTTTCTCAAAATCAAAAGAGTAGTAGGCAACACCCATAACTTAACACAAGCTTTTACTAGAATTATCCAGGTTCAAGCCTCAGCTCCTGCCCAGTCTGCTTAAGATTTCTGTTCCCACAGAACAGGCAGATGCCAGTCATCCCTTCTTATCCTCACCTCACTTGTTCTAGTTCTGACTAGTGTCTTTTTAGGGCAGCCCTCCAGAGGCAAAGGGTTTTAAAACCCTAGACCCCTGTTAGTCACACAAAAAACACCATATTTCTCAGGGCATTTCTTTCAAATTTGCCTTTTCAGAGCCATGTAAGAGTTGAGCCAGACAAATATTAAAAGAAGATTTCTGAAGTGTTACATGCAACTAGGAACTCGAAGGATACACACTGGAAGGGAAAACAAAATTACTTCTCTCCCAGGCAGTAATCCTCGTATTTCACATTCCCAGGAAAATGCCAGCTTTTTGGCCTACTGGTCCCTTGTTGATAGCCACTTTCATTCAAAATTAAACACCAAGACACCTCTACTCTTCATTTTAGCATAGGGACCTTTGCTGCCATGTAACTGGGAAATGAGAAATGGAGCTGAGTCAGAGAATTTTCATTAAAAAATAGCCATGTTTCTCATTCACTCTCTGCGTCAGACACCAATTTTGCAACAGAAACAAGGAGAACTCATAATGCATGGCACGGGAGAAGGGCATGCATCCAAGTCACAGAACAGCTGTGAGTAGGTTTGTCACCTACACTGAACTGCAGGAACGTAAAGGTAAATCACCCTGCCCTGTGCTCTTTTCATTCCTGTAAACGCTTCAGCGCAGTTATGGAAATACAGAAGTTCTTACTCACTTTGTTGCTTGCAGCTAGGATTAAAAAGGGCTACGACATTGAGCAGTCCCATGAAACGGGTGAGCAACAAAAAGGAGGCAAGTCCCAGCATCGCACCAAGCAAAATTTATCAGCAAGGCAACACACTTCAACAGGTTATCACTCTGCTAACAAAAACAGCAAGCATGAGCCCAACTCTCCTTACCATGTTGTGGCAGATAAACCACTGATGTACGAGACACAATCCAGAACACCTAACTCCTGGAGAGCCAGCAGGCTGCCAAACATAGCTGTCATGGAACGCACTCCCCCTGCCGTGGTCATGACTGCCACCACTGGCACCTGCTCGACACACAAAGGCACAGAGTCAGTCCTTCATCATCAGATAAAACAGATAAGTGATGGGCATGAAGAGTAAGTAACAGCAACAGCCTGTTTCACGTAGGTTTGGATTCAGTTCACCCACTACATGGTGGTGCTTCCGTGTGCAAGTTGTGCAGTCTCTGGTGGGACCTGGCATATGTTGAAGGCATCTTCAGCTTTGGTAAGTCAGAGGCTGTAAGCACGGCTCTTGTATGGCACGATCTGTTTTCAGATTTGTAAAGGGTCTTTTCTAGATATTTTTCATTTTTCTTCGTGTCTTTTCCTCAAAATACATTTTAAAACTCTGAGTATGACTGAGGTCAGAGGAATAGAGCAAAAGCTGTCTGCACAAATTTTTCTTTCTCTGTTTATATACAACATTTGCTATTCTCCAGGCAGATGGTGCTTTATTTTAACAATCTCGTCATTACCCAGACTACATCATCCTTCCCTGACATCAATACTACATGTAATTTGGTCTTCATTTTCTCAGGGATGCAACAATTCTGTGGCCACCTTCCCTTTGCCCCATAGGCAGCACTTAATGAAAGCTGAGACAACATATTCATAAACATATCTTGCCATTACCTTTAGTCTTAGCTTTATTTTAACATCTACCTGGAGGCTTTGGGTGGTTTGGGTTTGTTTTTTTTTAATTAATATGACTCAATAAGCCTTTCTTTTGAGGTCCCTTCCAACCCCTAACATTCTGTGATTCTGTGATTCTCATTTAGTAATAACAAGTCCTTTTCTACTCATTATTTAAGTTCAGGTGCATTTTGACACAGTTGACAAATGCTGTCCTGCACACAGCATCAAGGGACAGGTGTGCTGGGAGCTGAGCAGAGCAGTGGAGGGAATCCAACACAGGCACACTCTCCCAGTCGAAGAAAGCATTTCCCTGACTTGCTCCAAGCCCCACAGCTCCCCAACAGATCCATTACTATCTTCCAGTAACAGAGCAGCTACCTCTGAGTCCAGGGATCCTCAAGAGAAGAGAAAGCAAGAGGTACCACACTGAAAACCACACAAGACAGATGCTGCTGTAGCAGTTAACCAAGGGAGAGTCACAGTCTTCCTCTGTGAGCCTTGCACAGCAACAGAGAGGTGCCAAACTGTGAAGAAATAGTTCCAGTCCAAGCAACCAAATTTCAGCAAGCTTGATTTAGGGCAAGAAAGCTGGTGAAGGGCCTGGAGAATAGATCTTACGAGGAGCGACTGAGGGAGCTGCGACTGTTCAGTTTGACGAAGAGGAGGCTGAGGGGGGATCTCATCATGCTCTACAATTACTTGAAAGGACATTGTAGAGAGGTTGGTGCTGGTCTCTTCTCACAGGTAATTAGGGACAGAACCAGGGGGAATGGTTGCAAATTGCAACAGGGCAAGTTTAGGCTGGACATTAGGAAGAAATTCTTCACGGAAAGAGCGGTCAGACACTGGAACAGACTGACTGGGGAGGTGGTTGAATCGCCATCCCTGGATGTGTTCAAGTGTCGCTTAGATGGGGTGTTGGGTGATATGGTTTAGGGGTGAACTTGTAGTGTAGGGTTAATGGTTGGACTGGATGATCCCAAGGGTCTTTTCCAGCCTGAATTGTTCTATGATTCTATGATTATAAATACATTCAGCTCAACTAATACATTATTTCAGTGCCCCTGAGTGAGGACAGAGGTTAGCAGAGAGTAAGAGAGCTATAACTGACCTCCTGACGATTCATCTCTCACCTTCTGTGCCAAAAGTTCTTGGATACGGCCTTAGGTGCAAGTGGAAATCTGGCCTATACATTTTAATCTAGAAGATGCAGAAGTGCTGTATGGATTGTCACGTGAAAACATCACATCCACTTCATTGAAACTGGGACAAAATACTTTAAGTTCCCAAGATGCTGTCCTGCATACCTCATCCTCCTGCAGGTCTTCATCTAGATGAAGAACACTTTTCAGAGCAGCAGCAACCACCTTCTTCCTTTTACAGATGAAATCTCGCTCCTCTGCACATAGATCAAACCCCAGCCGCAGATCTAAATTCTTGCGACTAGAGCATAAGCACAGAACAAGACGTGTTACCTCTAAGCCACTTCTAGAGCTTGAGACATCAAGCAAACACAGCAACAAGAAGTCAGTTTAAAGAAAGGCTACTTCCACACACATGAAAGTTCCCCTATGCAAATCAAAGCATGAATATCACATCATAAGTATTTCTGCCTTCCTGTGGAGATTTTAGACCAGAATAAACATGAACTGTTTCACACAATCATGAGAAAGTTACATGAATCAAATTCTCTGCTGACAAAAAAACAAAGAACATAACTAAATTCAAGCTGTTTCAGACCGAGCTCTGAAATTTGGACACCTCTTCACACTCTCTTGTTACGTAAGTGTTTTCTGAGGGGCAGAGAGGGGTCTAAGCAGTTACTTTAACCTAACACACTTTAGGCAAAATAAGCCTAACACAGTATTAGGCTTATTTCTACTAAGAACTTGTGCTATAAATACTTGAGTCAGAAGATGTCTTTTAAGTTTATCCGTACATGAGTGCGCATTTGCGGAACCTGCGCTCCTGGGTCGGTGGTGTCCGGTGGAGCTGGCAGGGAGAGGAGTCAAAGAGCAGCTCCTCGGAGTAACTGTCCCCTGCGGAGGGGGTTTGCTGGCACAGAAAGGGACAGGTTGCAGAAAGGGAAAGGTTGCTCCTGCCTTCTCCTGCTGCCCTCCTACGTGACTACCCTAGCAGCATGTTTGAGAGGCTGAGGGAGCTGGGGATGTTTAGCCTGGAGAAAAGGAGACTGAGGGGGGACCTTACCACTCTCTACAACTCCCTGAAGGGAGGTTGTAGTCAGGTGGGAGTTGGGCTCTTCTCCCGAGCAACCAGTGACAGGACGAGAGGACATGGCCTGAAACTGCGTCAGGGGAGGTTCAGGTTGGATCTCAGGCAGCCCTTCCTCACAGAGAGGATGCTCATGCACTGGGATGTGCTGCCCAGGGAAGTGGTGCAGTCACCGTCCCTGGAGGGGTGTAAGGAAAGGCTGGATGTGGCACTTAGTGCCGTGGTCTAGCTGTTGTGACGGTGTTGGGTCATAGGCTGGCCTGTACGATTTCAGAGGTCTTTTCCAGCCTCAACAATTCTGTGATATGATTATGACCATGATACACATCTTTAATTCTGTAACTTCTCTTTTCACAGGGGTATTGTTTCAGGTATTGGTTTTTTGGTTTGGGGTTTTTTTTCAGTGAAAAGGTTATTTTGTTCCTTCCTGTGACTCATAATTTAACGTCTGCAATTAGTGCTTGTAATGTAGCTAACTAATCAGTAGGGGGTAATATTGTCTTTTGGAAAAATTGCACCAAGCCAGCCAATAAATTCATTGGTTCATTTTTTTTCATTGAAAAATGTCCTGTGGAGGATTGGTAAATGCATAAGGCTGTTAGAAACATGTTAGAAATGTGTTATGCACATGTGTATGTATTATAGATAAAGGTTACAAGAGGGAAGGATTATTAAATAACAAATTCAGGAAGCATCAGCATTAGGGAAAACTGTGTGACTGGGTTATAGCCCATGACTATCTACCACCTATTCTATGCTGAACTCTTACTATCCAGTTTAAAAGCATGTATCATTGTATTAACTCTTCCCTATATTTTAGTATCTTTCCTATATTTTAGTTTAACCAATTACAATCTTTATTTCTGGTTTTGAAATGAGTGAGTTTAAGCTGTAACTTCCTTTCATCTGAAGACAATACCATGAAAGAAAATGGCCTAAGTAATCATTGAACAAAAAAATAAAAGATTTACCCATCTTCTTCCTTCACAGACACCTCGTAAGATTCACCCTGGGAATTGAGAATGAACACACCACGGATTTTAAATAGAATTGAAAACTTGCAAAAAGAAGTTTTACAGCATTAGCAGTTATTCAGATACACAGTCTCATGATCAATCTCCGGTCTCTTCTGCACACAAAATACTTCTAAAATAATCAGTCATTCTGAATATGCTGCATTTTCCCTGCATAATAGTTATACTTTAAAGTGTATGCAGAGCTGAGCATACACATAACTCTGCTATTACATTTTTAATAACAAAGTTAACAACAGACTAGGTATCACATAGATATACATTACCTTTGCGGAAATAATTCCAAACAGTGTCAAATATTACTCACTCTCATCACTGTCACTTTCTTTTCCAAGTCCAGAGAACGGAGAGGCACGGCCAGGGGACTGCTTACATCCACTTTCTTAGGTGATCCACGCTGAAATAAAGTGGGAGAAAAAAAACTTGTTATAAAGAAGAAAGTTATTTGCAACCCACAGGTACAAATCTACCAGAGAAGGGCTAATTCCTCATGCTTCTCCCAAAAGTTACTGTAGCTGTTATCACCCTTCAGAAGTAAGACTTACACCACAGAAAAAGTGCTCCTTTGGCAGGGTCATGTGCAGCCTGGGTTGACTGTGCTTGACATAGTGGAACACGGTGGTTTCACTGCTTCCTCGTCTGCAGCAAGGACTGAGGGAAACATCCTGAGTCCCTTCATAAGATCCTCTCATTGTGAACGTGAAATCTCTCCCTAAGAACAAGAAGCAAACCGCAAATAGGTGTTACCTCCGTCTAGCCCTGAAGAACAACAAATAAAAATGCCCCAAGTAAAGATTTGGCCTTAGTGCAATCAACATTAATTTAGGCCACCATGCTTTCTCTCCTCCATAATCAGTGTGAACAAGGGCGAGACTGAATAAGCAGCAAAATGCTGGTGCAGCATCACAACTGCTCCCCTCCCAAGCGACAGGCAGCATGGGGTAGACCCACAGATGGCACGAGCAGCATTCATGCAACCCCCGAGTCCTTCCTCTCCTGATAGTTGTGTCTCCTCTCTTCTACTTTCTAATCTCATCACAGATATTTCAGTTCCACCACACTGCAGTGATGTTTCTGAGTTTCCCAGCCACCCCCACATTTTCCCTTAAGCTACACAGTCACACCATCTCCAGAAGATTCTCACTATTAGCAAATAGGTAAATTGGGAAACACCTCAATCCTCACACAGATACAGACTAAACCAGATCAAACATTTATCTAGATTCAGCTGCATCCCCTATAGCACAAAAAGCAGCAACAAACGATTTAAATCAATAACCTCACTTGTGTAAGGGCTCTTCCTTTTTGTTTCATTCACATGTACTTCCAAATGGGAAACTTCACGAGACTGAAAGAGATAAGCAATAAAATCACCAGTCACAGAAACAGTTCAGGATCCTCACTGAGGACCTAAGAGTCCTGTAGAAACACCAGGCTTGGCCATGATGTCCTGTAAATACAAAGAAATTGCAGAGGCTGATTCTCTTGTATAAATCATGCCAGCAGTACTGTGGGCAAGGTTGCTAAGACAGATGGGGACCTGACCACTATATTTAAATATAATTCATCCCTAAAAGTTAACAAAAGACATTTTTTTCTCCCCATCTAGGCCACACTTCAACTTTTATCTAAAAAAGACTGAGCTGTAAGGTAACTACGCTCTGCAGAAAACTGGACATATGGGCCTGTACTTCAGCACCTTTGGGATGAAGTTGAAACTTGCCAAGAGAGTGCTCCATAGGAGCATCACACAGGCTTTGGGACATGATGTGAAAAGAGCCTTTCGTTCCAAGGGGGACATTCAGCAATAAACTCTGCAGCAACATTGGATTCACTCCCTTGCCAAGTTTCCTTGTTTGCTGCCGTTTCAATTGGTGCTGCTTCAAGCCTCTTCCAACATGGAACACACTTACAGGCATGACCAAATTCAAGACTTTACAACCACACCCACATCTCATCTGGAAAAGAGTAAAGGCTATGCCTAAAGGCATTGTTCTTCCAACTACATCCTTCAGTTCTGCCCTACCATAAAAAAATAAGCATAAAAAGAATAAACCAATTACCACTAGTACACCATTAGTAGTGATGTTCTCAGACACACCTGGACTGGAAAGCAAAATGGAAAAAGTTTATTTCAGAGTGGGTATTTGACCAATAATGTTTTAAATGCAAATAGTTCCCTGAGCTCGGTTTTTCTAGCTGCCAAGTGCCATTAGCACTTTCAACTCCCACTCCATCTCACACTCACTGCCAGGTCACAGTCTCACAGCTCCCGGGGACACCATCTCTTTCTCATCTCCCCTGATCAGCATCATCCCTCCTTAGTTTGAATTACAAATAAAACACCTACCCTCAGCTATAAATAGTAAGAGAAATTGTCACTCAAGAAGAGATTTCAACAGATTCAGGAAACAAAAGCACCCACAGGGGAGATGCTGAGATGGGATTTCTGAGCAAAGGTACATGGAGCCGCTTCCCCAGCGCTATGTTATCACTCTCTAAAAAAGTTTTCAGATGACAAATTCTGTACCATTTAAGCTTTACTCACATGGCTTCCAGTAGAAATTCCACTTCTAGTTCTTCCTGAGTCTGAAACAAGATTGATTTTTCATTTGAGGAAAATGAACAAATGAACTTTTTCCTTTAACAGAGCTCTGATGCTTTTGTACAACCCTCCCTGGCAAGGTTTTGCATTCCCACAGCCTCTGCATCAACAGTGTAAACAGATGGAAGCCACCCTTTCACAAACCAAGTGACTCCAAAAGAGAAAAGTATCATGGAATAGTGGGCAAAGGTCCCATTATTAATTTATTAGTAGGATGAGACATAAGTCAATCAATGCCAAGGAAGGGAGGTGTAACAGGTGAAGTATGTAGGAGAACATACTTGAAAAAAAAAATGGAATTACATGGCAAGTAAGTCTGGGTTAAAACAAACGAAAAGAAAAGCAGAGTATAGTGACTAAAGAAAAAGTTGTGAGAAGAGAGGAACTTGGGAAATGAAAATTGCCCGGGTTAAGATGGAATACTGAAGCTGTGAAGGGGAATGAGGGATCAAGCTCACAAAGGCAAAATCAAGATGAAAAAGAGGGAAGAGTGTAAATGTAGGGAAGAGCACCAGAGTAACACATCAACAACACAAGAGGGATTGAAGAATTGTTCTTACTTCCCTGCAGCCGTTTGCTGGATCAGTCTGTACCGGGTACAGCCAATCCAAGAAATACCACACAAAAACGTATACCACAGAAGTCTTCTATATTGCCCACAGGGAAGAAAACACAATTAGTGGACGATAAAACTCTTCCTGACAAGTGACAGTAAAAGTTTTCATTCAGAGTCAGAACTACCCTTCACTGTCAAATCTCTCCTCTGTCTGACTGCACAGCAGACTTCAACTTTGTGAAGAAACTGGGAAAAGCATGTCAAGGCTGATAATGTTGCTGCAAAGGTAAAATTGTCACTACAGTAAAGGTGAAAAGTGGGTATTTCTGAATTTACTAGTTCATGTCAGCAAATGAGACGTCTCAGGTGGTTTCTTTAAAAGTTGCATCCGTGGCATGTAGCCTACCAGCAGGTGGTTCTGCCTGCTTATTTCTTCCAAAATCTTAGTTTCATGAGAATTCTGTTGCAACAGTTTGTAACAGAATGCTGAGAGATGGATTTTAGAAAGCAGTCACCTTACAGAGATACAAGACACTTTATCGAACATCAGACTGTGACCAGTCTGTACTACCCAAACTCACTGACAGTCTCTTCCAATTTTCTCCAAAGAACAGGAGAAACAATGTTCAGGAGACCCTGGCTTGTAACATCTGCCTAATAGTGCCTGCCTTATGTTCTCATCCTTCTTATGCTGTTGCACACAGGCTCACACAAATCACATTTCTATTAAGTCCCACTCACGTTTTTGTGGGTGAAAAACGTGGAGCAAAGCAATGGAAAGACTCGTTAGACCACACAGTGTGCAAGAGGCACGCAGGACGCAACCTGATGCTCTGATATTACCCATCCACCCTCCTCAGCCCTCCTTTGGAGATACTTTTGGTAGATGAAACAAATCATTATGGGCACAGCTGGCAGTACTGCCTGTTATTAAAGTTGCCCGATGTGTTCCATTACTAAGTCACTTAAAAAAAATTAACTCTAAGTGTTCTAAAATTCCATGTAGAGACCATAACTTGTGATGCCTCATGGGCATCTGAGTTGTGATTTCAATAAGGATGGCTTGACCAAGACATTCCTGAGACACAGCTCAGCTTATCGCCTCAGCTTCCAACTTGCTAAGCCAATGGGTTACCCCAACCCTGCACATGCCTCAGAGCAACCTCAGGGCTTGAATCACACCTTAAATGACCTCAGTTAGGTGAGTTTTTTCCTAAGGAAGGCTGTAGACAGCTGGAGCAGGTATATTGAAATCCTTAGCAAGAACCGGCTTTCTAAGTAAAGTAAAAATGTAAAAAGAAACAGTGATATGAAAAACAGCCAACAGTTTTGCAAACAGCCTGGCACAGAGGTTTAGAAATAAAGAGAGCACATGCAATTCCTAGGAACTGTAAACCCAAAGCCCTTGTTGGAAGTGTGAAAAAAGTCCTGAAGCCTTGTTACCACACAGCCTCCAAGTAGAGAAGGTGTTACATTTTGAAGAAAGTAACCTGAATATCTATTTTGCTCACTTAAAAGATGGATGTGATTTTCTACCTGTCCTCTCAGCAATTTCACCCACTAAACATTTCACAAGAAGCTCTTTTTCCTCTCTTTAATACAGCCAAACACAATATTCTTTGAGACATATGCAGGAAATAAAACTCATAGGTCACACAGTGACCTATAAGAAAAGAACGAAATAAGGGCAAGATTCTGATTCATTAAGCCCTATCTATTCTACGCTGGTTAAGCTTCCCTAAAAAATAAAATTGTAACCCTGTAACAAAAGATCATAAACGGACTTGGAGAATTTCTTTTTTAAGTTGTTTATCAGAAGAAAAAAAGATAAAATTTTCATGATAATACATAACAATTTACCAAATACAGGACAAAGCCCTTGGTGAAGCTCAGAGAAAGTAACCTAGTGAGCTACTGGCCAAAGGGTCAGGGGCAGCTGCCCAGATCAGGGAACAGGTTTGTTCCCATCTCTCCTCTGCCAGCCTCCTACAACAGGAACAAGATCTCTAACCATCAGCTTTTTCAAATTTTGACTCTTACTTTCTCTGTTTTTTTCAAAATACATTTTTGAAATCTCAAAGAAAAAAAATCAGAATAGGAAAACACTTAATCGCAATCACAACAAAGGGGTGACTGTTTTGGACTCCTCTTAAACCCTGAGCGTTTAAGTTTGTGCTTTAATAAAGTCTTTTTATCAGTCTTTGTGTGTGAGAACAACTCAATTTAATATAGGTAGTAACTTGGGATAAAATTCTGATCACAAGCGTTATTTTATCTATTGACTTAGTTCAATTCATCTTTTTATTTCTCACCTTTGGATTCAACTCAAAATTGAGGTGAACTTTTTCTCCAGGGTGGATTTTAGCTACATCAAAGCGAACCGTCAAAAGCTGGTCATCTGGTGTAAGAGTGTCCTCATCACAGACTGTCAGCTCCAGGATGTTCTGAGGAGAGAGGCAGAGAAGGATGTAAATGCCAAAATCTGGGATTCTGAGCCCAGAATGAAGGTCTAACAGGAGTCAGCATGTCACCCTTGCATTGTTCAATTTGGACAGACTCCTGTGATGGAGTGGAGCTCAGTTCACGGCCCCCGTGGCTCAGACTGCAAAGACACAGACTAACCCTAAAAGAAGGAAATTATCAGATTTGTCAGGGAACAAGAGCACAAAAGAAAAGCAGGATAAGTGAAAATCTACGCACTGGACAGAGCAGATAGTAATTTTGAATCCACAAAGGATCTGATGAACAGCACATGTACTATCTTGAGAAACCCTGGCATATCAGCAGAAAGTAATGACAGAGGGCAAACCTTTAGCCTTTTGCAAATGGAAGGCAAAGCACGTTAACAAACACTTTTAACAAGATTTAAATTGTAGTGATTCCCCTTGCAATTCCTCAGGGTTCAGATTACCCATAGTGGTGTGAGGAGACGCAGCACTGTTAAGCCACAGGAAGCTGACCTGTGTCTAGGACCTTGTAACACTCACACTCTGACTGCTAATCTGTTTCTGCTAACTCTACAACCATTTTAACAGGTTTTTTTTAAAAAAAAAACAACACCTCCTCTGGGACAGAAAGTAGCATTCAGGTTTATACCAGATGATCTATGACCTTCTGAGTTTACACTCATTCAAAGTATGGTTTCTGTTATAAGTCTGCAAGTCAGATGTACTGTTTGCTTTCCTAACGCCTGCTTTTCAAAAACCTACAGGCATTTGAAAATATGCCTGTCCAATGACAGTATAGTTAGCATTAAAAGATATTTTTATATTTTTAAAAACAGGCTCAAAGCTCTCATCAAGAGTTTGCACGCAGCAGCAGATGACCTTGTAGAAAGGATCTGCTCACCATCACACGTGTAGATCCTACCTTTACTTCCCTCTGTATCATGAAGTGGAAAGTTTCATTCCAGACAGGGTTTTTGCAGTTGCGTACAGTTCTTGTCCGGGCTTCTCGACATGAAGCTGTTGGCAGCCACAGCTTGACATAGCAATCAGTTTGGCTCACTGTGTTAACAAAAAGATGTATAATTAGTACAGCAGCACTTTCTGCTTTTGCATAGTCAGGGGAAAAAAAACATTAACCTCTGAGAATACCCAAAGGAAAACATTCTGGGTTAAAACCACTAATTCTATTTAATAACAAAAGCCAAAACATTCTATTTCAACAGTGCTGAAATATTCTGGCTCTTCTGATTTTTTTCCACTTCTATTTTCAAATATTTGCCAGGCCACAAGCAAATTTTTATACAACTTCACTCCCTGAAATTTCACTTTTTCAGAAAAAAAGAAGAATTTCGAAGGAGGAAATTTTTTGACCTGATATAGCAATAAAGACACAAACAGAGCGGCCCCCAACACAACTACTGATTTTCCCCTATATCTTCCGCAAAGATGCCCCTTTAAAAGGGGAAATGGAAAACCTGTGGGTAAAGGGACAGTGAAGAGTTAGAAGAAAGGGAAATATCATGGAGCAGACGGTGAAGGGAAGGATATCTTCTTTCCCAATACAGAATTTATATTTTCTTGAATTTCTATTGTTAACCTTTTTCTAAATTATATTGAGTCTAAAAGAAAATGCAAAAAGATAGAACCTCTTCAGTCAAACAACCTGAGACATGATTGTCATCCAAGCAACAGGTGCACAAGAGCATTAAATTCAGGTGACAGCGACTTTCTTGCTAACCTGTCAACATACGCCATTAGGGATACTTACACAGATCTGCTTTGCGGAGATTTCTCATGCTTATAATTTTCACAGTAAGCCAGCACAACTGAGGCACTTCTGGCTGCAGAACAATGAGAAAAATACTCTAATTATTCACAAATAACTCAGATATAACTAACACAGCCTATCCTACAGCATAGCAAAGGCTATTCTCTCATTAATGCAGTGAATATTTTGACTAGGTGGAGTCCATGGAATTAATTTTAATTATTTGAAACAATTTCTGAGAAGAAATTACTTCCTGTGATTTGACTACATTTAATGTCAGATTCCAGTTATGTTTACTAACCAGTTGTCTTAAGTTTTCTAAAGACTTCATAATTAGACATGAAGTTTTAACGCAGGAAGTAGTAAGAAATACTCACAAGACAGTTTCCACAAAAAAAAGAAGCCATTACATAATCGGCCCTGTAGAATCCAGCTGCCTTCAAACTATGAAGTTTGCTCCTCAAATTTCAGTCTGGGTGCAACAGATGACAGCACAGCACTTCCCAGCTTGGGGACCACGAGATGTGCTCCTTCCTCCAGCAGGGACTGCTGCCCACCTGCCCCAGAAGTCCCCATAAGGCAGCTCTGGCATTTCAGGGCAAATCTAACCTGACATAAGGCAGAAGCAGCCGTGTATTTTTTTTTCTCTGGCTCTCTAAGACACTGAGTGTGATAACCTGTCATCCAGAGGTGGGGTCTACCTTAATCAAAATGAGTATATCATGCAGAACTGATACATGTACACAAACTAGGAGCTGGAGGAAAACCAGAACTGAGGAAAGCGTGAATCACAAAACGTCTCAATAATGTAAGAAAATGGGAAGTTGTAAACTGAATTACAGATTTGATAGGATGAGAATAAAACTGCCAGTGTGTTCGATTACGCAGTTAAACACAAAGAAGCAAGAATCAAAGTTATAATTGCATATGAATGCACATACACATGCAAAAAACCAAAGGTGCACAAATAGGTGGTTCATAACATCCTGGCTTATTCAGGACTTTTGCATATTAAATTATTTTAAACATATGTTCACATTAAAAACACTAGGCTGACCTAATTGATTTACCAGGGAGAAGCACTGAGGTATAGCAATGTACTGACATCCCATAGTGTAGGGCTCTACAAGGAAATAGCTTGAAGATTCCACAACCCTCTCTTTTTTGTTTTCCCCCCTCTACTTCTCACCATAGCTACACACAACCCTATATACCTGGTTGCAGGAAAAACAACAATATCTTGAAAAACATGAGAAATAAAATAGTATATACAGAAGCAGTAGCTCCAATAAACTGAAAGGAACAATTAAATCTCCAAAGCATCATAATTTCTGAGAAACTGTCTTTTTAGGATCTCTCTGTGTACCTTTATTTTGATACACCAGTGTCCTGACAGGAGCAGGTTAACTATCTAAAAAACAGTAAGTCAACCGGCTAGATACTATTTAGAGGCCACAGAAAAAAATCGTAGCCCAACAGTTTTCTCTTGGAAAGCGCTATTTGAACAAAACCAAAGGTTTGGAAGAAACCCATCAACCTCAGCAGAATTTTTGGCAGCAAAAATTCTGGAGATAGAGAGAATGACAGGAGTAGATGATCCAAACAGCTGAAAGCTCAACATTTCTTCCCAAAGAGAGGGAATTAATTTTTCCTTCTCAGCTTTAGTACTATCCATACTTAAGAGTTTGGACAAAACTTGTTCATGAGATGGCGGAAGTACCAAGAAAATATGGAGGCACAAATCCAATTATTCTTCCATAGTGCTAGCAGCTAGTGAGCTTGCTGCTCTCCCAGACCTAGCAAAGAGAACTCGAACTTCTGCCCTGAATACAGCTAGAGAGCAATTCAGGGAAACAAAACAAACAAAAAAATCGCACATCATACTTTTTTTAAAATGTTATCATTTAATATTATTTCAACCAGCCATTACTCAGAAAATGGAATGATTTGTTACATATCTACCACATTCAGTACTTTCCAACACCTTTTGCCAGTTGAGTTTCATAAAAATTAACAGTGAGAATTATTTTAAGTGGCAGACCCTGAATAAGCCATTTTATCTGCTGATCTACTTCTGTAAAGCAAAGGAAAAACAATTTGAAGACTGAGCCCTGGGAGTTACAAGGTATGACTACTATCATAAAGTGATGTCACAGTAAAATCAAGACCAAAATCCAGCTCTCCCAGTTCTGTGCCCAGCATCTAAACCACAAGATCATCACCTCTCCAACCCCTAAGTCACAGTGAATGTTTTCCACTCTAGAGAACATACTCGCAGAAGAAACAAATATTCCCTTCACTAGCCGTTAAAAAAATATCACCTCTCATAATAACAGCGAAGCTTAGGGAGAGGTGGGAAAGGCTGATGGAAAGCTGCAGGTGGCAGCTCATACCCCTCAGTCCTCTCCCTGCAACCCAGAAGCTGCCCTCTGTACAGTACCTCATCTTCAGCGCTGCGTGGTCTTTCATGATTCCTTCTGATCCCAGTCTTCCTGTGCAGGTTGGTTTGCATGAACTGATCCTGGGGACGAGGAGCCGAGAGAGAGAGGCCAGTGATGAACTCAGTCAACAACCTGTTTTCAGTTTCTCCTCAGATTCACCAAGGCAATAGCAGGGGGCTGTACCATTTCTCCTCCTCATAACATGACACATCTCCATCTCACCAAGACCACGTATCTGCTGCTCTTACTAATAAATCTGCCCACTGAAGACCCGGTTGACTTTCAAAGAGCAAAATTCCCCAGGCATTCACTTTTGATGAATTTCAACCAAGATAGCCAAACAGATCCTCCTGCCCCACCGCCAGTTTTCTCTTACCAAAAGTGAACAGGCTGATGATCCCATGAGTATCTCTGCTTCATAAAAGGCAACACCTTAATGGTCCAGTGTGTGTGTGTGTCTCACAGCTGGCAGGTGCTCCTGGGCCACACTATTTTCAAACCAATTGAGGCAGGGAAGAGCTGTATAGATTGACTCATAGCTCCACCTCCCACTGATTTCAAAAGCACAAATTATGCACTTGTTCTGTGCCACATAAAGAGTTTTTTGGGTTTTTTTTTGTAACACCACAGTGACACAGAGGTAAGGGGGAGATGGGTCAAACATTTTACCATAGGCTAATCCCAAAACAAAATAATTATCTACCCCTGTTAGGTCTGAATAACCACACACATTTTTTAGAACTCTTGAGTTTCTAAGTCAGACAGAAAATCCCTCTTTGAAGCAGCAGAATTTTTAACAAAAAATAAATCTGACCTTCAATCATTTCTAATGAAAGTATCTGACTACTCAAAGTGTCCTGTAGAGGAAAGCTATCTTATCTAATGTTTCAAATGATTGTTATAATTAGCCTGGTCTTTCATAGACTCAGGCATCATCTACATAAAAGTTCCTGCTTTAGGTTATGCTATCATTTATGCAAAAAAAAAAAGTGTGATGAATTCCTAGCTACAAGTTTTTTGGTTGAGTTGGTTTTTATTTTCTGGAGCAGTCTTATTAAAATAAAGATTTATTTCACTTGATTATATAACAATGTTTTTGAAATAGAACTCCCTGATTTGAAACAAGAGGCTGAACATGACAGCCATCACATCACTTAGCCCAGGCTCTGAAGTCATTTTATGGCTCACTTAGACGAGAGTGGATTCTCTCCAGCTCTACCAGAAGAAAAGTTATCCACCCAGTTAGATAATCTGCCACGCTTCCCACTCAACTCCGACCATTTCCACAATCTCCTTATTTGGCCTTTTCATAAATCAAGTGATATTACCTGCTCAAGCAGCTATGTTGCTTTACTATACATGCTTGATCTGCACATCATAAGAAGAAATCCAGCCAAACAGCTCTCTGTGCAAAAGCACCACCAACAGCAGTGCAGGTGAGCCAGGCAGCCGCAGGACAGAAGTCATGATAGTATTTCACTAATAGCACGATAACAGAAGCCTTCAGCAGCACTAGTTACACAGATATACAAGGTCTAGAGACACACAGACTCTTAACCCAGGCCACCTGAGTTGCAGCACAGGTGCTTGGGGTGGCAGAGGAGCAGATCAGCAGCAGCAGCACCAGGACAAGCTCTGCAGCCTCTCAAGAGGCAACTGCAAGGGCTGGAGACTCCTGCTTGCCACTAAGAGCCCAGATCAATTTTAACAAAGGCCTGTCACAGAAATTTGAGACTGGTAACATCTCAAAATTCTCACGGGGATTTTTGATTTTGTTTTTCATTACCTCCTGAAAAAAATCTGTCAGGCAGCAACTCTAAATATCAGACTTCATTCACATAACTCAAGTAAAAAATCCCAAAACTAAATCATCCAGAACACCCTTTTTGACCTAGATACTGACAAAATCTGAAGTAACAGTGATTGAAACCCACATGAAACTTTCATGCAATTTTCAGAGCATCCATTTAAAGCATTCAGGTAAGTAAAAGAACAAGAGACATTAAGCTACATTTCCCAGTTTGATAATAGAGAGATCACCACTGGACCAGGTTGCCCAGAGAAGCTGTGGACGCTCCATTCCTGGAAGTGTTCACAGCCAGGCTGGTTATCCAGCAACCTGGTCTAGTGGCAGGGGGTTGGAACTAGATGATGTTTAAGGTCCCTTCCAACCCAAACCATTGGGTAACTCTATGAATTACTCAAGAGGACTTTCCTCTCAAGCAGCACAACCGAAGTCACCTCATTCACCCCTGAGGGAATGTTGAAGTCACAGCACCCAGGATCCACCTGCATTTTCAGCTCAGAGCAGAAGATATCACCTGTTTAGCACTAATTCACAGGAGACTGGGTGGTGCCACACTAGAGGTTCTAAAGTAGTATCTACACCATCAGTCAAGCGCGCAACTGCGTGCGTGGGCTCACAGCCTCCGGGCAAAGGAATTTATCATGCTCCTACAGCAAAAGAAAAAACCTCAAGACATCTTCAGTCCTTGTACTTTATTGACACTCACTTTTATTACTTTTTTGATTACAACTGTGGACGAAAACACGGGAGTGCAAACTAAGTATTGAGTATGAGTTTGTAATTGGAGCTGAGTCA